TACCATCCCACAATGGATCAGATGTGTAGAGTATGAATTGAGCAGAACCATCAGTAGAAGGATTACCAGATTCACAGAAGTAGTCATTACCAATGAAAGACTGAAGAGTTGAGTTCTGAAGGCTACCTTGAGAACAAGGACAAAGATACCGACCATCATCATGAATGGAATTGTCAGTTACTCCAACCATTAGTGTCCAGACATGTTGACGAGGAGACCCACGAGTGATACTAACACCATCAGCATAATAAGAATTAATATCATTGTGAGTTGGCTTAATGACACTACCATATGTTTCACCTGTGAAATAGCCTGGATAAGCTGCATCAGGTGTAGCATATTGATATCCTACTACTCTACCACACACTTGAGAGTAACTGATACCATTAGATGGAAACTGAACTGATGTACAACTGCCTCCACTTGATGTTGCTCTACCACAAGCTCTAACTCCTCCTGACTGGTATAGTCTAAACCCAGGAGGACAGTTCTGTGTAGAGTCAGTCATATCCAGATATGCTAGTCTTGTCCATCCTCCTCCTGAACCACACAGCTCCTCCATATTACAGTAAACATTTTTTATTTCTCCTTCATATTCAATATTGTAGTTCTTTGAAGAACTGTTTGGCCAGTACTTCTTTATTATCTTGCAAGATGATATTCTATCCCCATTAGAACAGGATTGTAGAGGTACTGTAGCTGAACTGATTATTAGCAGATTTAGCACAATAGTACAGAATAGCACAGACTTCATTGTATTTCTGTTATAGCTGGTTTGAATAGTCCACTTATATAGGAAGCTACAGCATTAATTGTACCCGTAATTAAAGGTCACTTTAAAGTAATCAAATGACATATTTTTCATCTGAAATAAACGTCACATCCTTTTCTAATTTTAGTTGTAAATATTGTGATTTGTGGTTTTGCACTTGAACTGTGAAATCATTATTATCTATCATTGTCGTTTTTATGCATGCTGGAGTCTTCTAGTTCTATATTAAGTTAATATCTCTGTATTTTTCAAGTGTTGTAATTATTGAAAGTAAGACAGAATCACAAAATTCAAGGAATATGAATTTTATGGAGGTCCATTTTTCACTATCTGGTGATTTTGTCTCATATCAAGCATTACATCTGTTCTTCATTATGGCCCTACTTGCATGAAAACAATTCTAAATGCTCGGTATTTTCCATCATTGATTGTCTCCTCCATTCCTTTTGTAGGCTCATTCCAGTTTACTGTTACTAAAGGAAGTGACTGGGAGGACAGTAGCATCAATCATTGAACCTCATAAAGAGCTACTCATTGATATGATACCGCCTAAGAAGCACCTACTGAAGCATCAACCAATCAATACTCAGATAGCACTAATGGTACTTATCCATGTATCTATTGGTCATGTGTTATTTGTATTATTAGGATGGATACACATTTTGTTGCAACTTAAGTCCACGTTTATTTTCAATCAACTTATCAGTTCCAGAGCACAAGGTTTTTTTTCAAGAAGTAAGCACTCTATTTGCTATATGTGCATTCTCTTTCATGTGCATGCAGTTGATTACATTGTGTGGTGAAGGTGATGATGCAGCATTAGCTAAGTCTCCTTGTTATAAAGGAGTTCAGAGTCTAGTCCCTCTAAAGATCAGTGGCCTGGGTAAGATAATGTGTATAGGTACACACGTGGCTCTTATCCCTCAATCTCTTAAGCTGCTCTTGCTGCTTGTACTTATCTTACCGAAATGAGAGAGAGGATCTTTGGTGCTCTCTATAAAGCCATCAATTCTAATTCTGTTGAGCTTCAGAATGCCGGAAAGGAAGCAATGAGAAAGGTATGAGTATTTATTTAATGTCAGTTTTTAAGGATTGCTGTGATGTCTACTTTATATCATTTTATGCTCTCCTATTAATATTAGTTTATGTCAGACACATCACAGAGTGATATAGAGCTGGTCCACAGTGCACTTAGGCCGTTGTTAATGATGCTAGGAGACTTTAGGAACCTTAACCCAACCTTGCTTCAGAGGTTGACTCATATGGTTGAACTGTTTCCTACGTCTTTCAATGAGAAGATGTGTGAATCACTACTGGTTAGACTTTAATGAATGATAATAGTAACAGTCTCTCTCTCTCTTTCTCTTTCTTGATACATTAGGCTCATCTCAAGAGATGGGTTGAAGTAATTGTTAATAATTCACAATCCAAGCCAGTCAGAAGAGGAGAAGTAAGACCAAATTGACCCTGCACCACTTTCATGCAGTGTACATGTATGTGTATACCATATATTATTTATTGTAGGAGGTCCAAGTTTGTATATTGATATTGGATATGTTTCACATGCTTCCTGCTTCATCATTCAAACTGTTTGATCCACTCATCAGCCTTTGCATCAAAGCTGAGAAGGCACTAGGGACTGAGGTACAATAATATCACTGATATGTATAGAATATATAATGAATTACTACTGTGCATTTTTGTCCCTAATATCTCTTGATTCTCTATTTTTAGTTGAGTAGTCCGTTTCGTGAACCATTGTTGAAGTTTACCTTACGATTCACTTCTCTTTCGATGGAATTTTTTCTCAGTCATTTGTCCGATATCACGATCAGTAGGATACTGCAGGTGGGTGGAGTTTAGGGTTGTAGCTTCATTTAATAGCTTTTGTAGTATTTTTTGAAGCATAAAGATGGGAAGCCACTGAAGGAACATTTGTACTCTAATCCACAGAAACTCATAGATGCCACTTTTAGACAACCGGTGAGTATACTGTAGTATACTAATAATATACTAGAGATGGTGTAGTATACTAAAGATAGCATAGTAGCACAGTATACTAATGAAACCTAGCTAAATCCATGCCAGCTACTTATTTTATTTAAATTTTACTTTTAGGCTGCTGGCACTGATGATGCATCAATTCAAAAGAAAGCAGAACTGCAGTATCAAGGAATTTCATTATTCCAGTAAATTATGACAACTCACGTATTTATTATTATCATTATTGAGACTGACTCTTATTTTATCAACATATGTTTTTTGTACTTTGATAGCTTCCTATTGGAAGAGAGAGAAGAGTGGATAAAAGATAAAGGAGAGGTCATAAAGCATTTGAAGGCAATATGGTTATCAGATTCATACCACTCATTAATCACCAAGGTAAGCAGTAGGTATACGTATATTCTTGTCATTAGTCTTGTTTAGGATGCTGTTCCACTCAGTCATTGGCAGGAGTGCTCAATGCTTGTCAATTGCTTACTTCTTTATTGCAAGTAATGAATTTTTATATGTACCTTTCTTTAAATTCTCTCTGTATTTTTATAATAGGTATCATAAGGATGACATTGAAACTCTTTTCTATCTGCTAAAGGTGTTCATGTTTAGACATGTTACCTCTTTCCCATTCCTCAAGTCTTACCTTGAGAATGAAGTGGCTAAGCAGTACACTATTGAGCAAAAGAGAGCCGTCTTTTTCAAATTTGTCGAAATATTCTCTTTGTCTGATTATTTGCAAGAATTAAAGGCAAAGGTAATCTGATATTACTCTCCTCTCTCATTCTCCTCTTTATGTCTATTGCCTTTCTTTCTTTATATCAGATATTGCAGTATATACTCATTCCAGTTTTCACTTTTTCATTTGAAGAAGGAGAGAGAGATGAAGTAACCACTTGTGTCCTATTATAAATATAATTATTATGTCTCTTGAATCTCCTTCAGTTGTTAGGTGGTCCACCTGATCCAGAGAGGGACAGTGACACTAACATTATCAGTGTGTTCATCAGTAAAGTCATCAATCCTGACAAACCCTTTGGAAGCTCTGTGAGCTAATAACTAGATGCATTTATACGTTGATAACATTTATTTTATTTTCTTATGCTTTGTAGGACTCTGTGTGTATTTTACTGCTCCAGTTCTCATCATTGCTGGTAGAACATGCTGCCCCTCATATACACGACTCTAATAACAAGTAAAAGAGCTTCATATGCATTAGCTGTACAATTGTCCCTCTCTGTCCTGTAGGAAGCAAGGTGCTAAGCTAAGGAGATTGATGACATTTGCTTGGCCTTGCCTTCTACCCAAGCAATGTGTGGTGAGTCTGCATCAGTAGCTTATACAGACACGTATCTCTCTTTATTAGGATCCTGCTACCAAGTATCATGGTCATCTTTTACTGGCTCATATCATTTCAAAGTTTGCCATTCACAAGAGGATTGTATTACAAGTAAAGAACTATAATAAAAACCTCATTATTATACTAAATACTATTACATCTATTTATGTAGGTGTTTCATAGTTTATTGAAAGCACATGCAATTGAGGCGAGAGCTATAGTTAGGCAAGCACTGGACATACTGACCCCTGTAGTCCCAGTTAGGATGGAAGATGCCAATGTAAGTGTATAATAGACTGGGCCTGTCTTGACTTGCTGTTGTAGGCAACTCTTGTTCACTGGACAAAGAAGATCATTGTTGAAGAAGGACAGACAATGGCACAACTAATACACATACTGTAAGACTCTTTTCGACTAGGACTCCTCACTGACTCTCTCTCTCTCTCTCTCTCAGTCAGTTGTTATGTAGACATTATAAAGTATATTATCCAGTGAGACAGCATCTAGTGCAGCACATGGTCTCTTCAATGCAAAGGCTTGGTCTGACCAGCAATGTAAGCACCTGATCATTATTTACTGTCATATATTGATCTATATATCTCAGGCTACACTAGAGCAGAGGAGACTGGCTGTGGATTTGACTGAAGTTATCATAAAGTGGGAATTCCAGAGAGCCAAAGAAGCACAGGAAATGGACGTGAGAAAAATGATATTTACGATAATTCGTATATTGTGGGCATCTCTTATCAGGGTGAACCAATGGAAATTATGAAAGATACAGCTTCTACTGCTGTAACAAGTGGTGTAAGCTATTCAATAATTACTAATATTATAAGTATTATTGTTGTTGTTGGTATTGTTGTTGTTGTTGTTGTTGTTCTTACAGTTGGGATTAAAGAGGTCAGGTAGTGATGGTACTGCTGGATCAGGTAATGGAGGAGGAGGTGGAGCTGAGCTAAAGAGACAGAGGAGTCAGGCTCAAGTGGCTGATCCAACATGGCCACTTGACAAGCAACATGCTGACTCCATCATTAACTTCTTAATAAGACTAGCATGTCAGGTAAGGAAAAATTTTTTAATTTTGTCATTATTTTTCTATTTACTATGTCTTCCTATGTCTTTTCTTAACAGGTTAATGATACACAGGTTCCTGGTAATGCTACTTCACCTAATCCTGCTGAACAGCTCTCAAAGAGATGTGTCTCGCTGATACGGACTGCCCTGAAGCCAGACCTATGGCCTAGTGAGTGAGAGAGAGAGAGAGGGAGGACATTGTATGATCATATACTGTATGTACTAGGCATTGATGTGAAGCTTTCATGGTTCGGCAAGCTACTAGAAACAATAGTAAGACTTTATCATGAGAACGCAAAAAATGAAATATTATTTTTTTTGTAGTCTCAAGTTGATCCGTCAAATGCTGCTGCCAGTAATTCTACATATGTCAATGTCTGTACTGCACTTGAAATCCTGTTATTCCTTATTAACGTTTTGGTAAGATTACACGCATACATGTATAGACTCATACTTGTGTTTAATTGCCTCACACATCTCTCTACCTTTCCGTCCCTTTCTCTCTCTCTCAGCCTCCTAATGTGTTGCTGTCTGGTTTCAAGAGCCTCAATAGAGGTCTTCATTTCTGCATGACATCAAACAATACTAAGGTAATGTTAATTGTGCATTAATTGTAAGGAGCACGTGTCTCTCTAAATGTTGATTTAGGTTGTAAGGTATTTGCACTCATTCCTCTCACGACTCATTAAGATGTTCACCAGTGAATTAGGTATTACTATATTATTTATTTATTTACGTATTCATTTATTTATTTTTGTTAGTGTCTGGACCAGGTCATGATGAATTGGATCAACTTTATTCGAATTTGCAGAGAACAGTCTTCGAAGGATTGACAACTTATGAGAAGTAATCAACATCTCCTTCATCACTTTTGTATCCTCCTTCCCTTCATTAGGGCCAGTACTTCAGCTAGTACCAATCTTAACTGTACACTGATGATACTCAAAGCTTGCTGTGTTAATGATCCTACTTATATAGACAAGTAAAATGAATCAGAGATGGACTATGCATTCAATGCTTTGTCTCTACTTCTTAAGGTTTTTGGTCCCTTTTGTTAAAGTAATGCAGAAACTTCACAAAGAGCACCTGCTGTCCTCAAACTCAACTGCAGAGATTCAAAGTACGACTTTCTTTTTGTACTTTTTCTTATTCTATTCTTCCCCCTCTTCCTCCTCCTCTGTTTTTCAGCTGTTTCAGAGCTCCTTCAGTTAAGTATTGATATGTGCAAGTTAAGAGTCACTGCAATGCCACAGGACTGCCGCAAGGCGTTCTTTAATATTCTAACGTCTCTCATTGAGAAATCAACCGATATTAAACTATTGAAATCAATAGCTCGAACGGTTGATGATTGGGTCAAGAATAGAGTAAGTTTTTTTTTATTTTTGCATGATATAAACAAAAGGATAAATTAGTATTGAAAGTTGCTTCAAAATTTGGCAAAGGACAATGTACTGTGTGTTGGGCCAAATTTTGCCAAAAATGAAAGGGAGAGAATTCTCCATTTTTATCATTTTTCCTGATACATATACTTGTTCTTGTGTTGTGTAGAAAGTTTGAGCTAATTCCGATCACATTTAGATTTTTTACGAATTTTTAAAGATGCTCCAAAATCAGGTCAAAATCCCTGTACTATAGTACAGTGTCTTTGGCCAAATTTCACCAAAAATGAAAAGGAGAGAATTCTCCATTTTTATAATTTTTCCTGATGCATATACATGTACTTATGTTGTGTAGAAAGTTTGAGCTAATTCTGATCACATTTACATTTTTTACGAATTTTTAAGTTACTTCAAAAAGCATGTACTTTTGCCTGATGTCTCAGGTGTTTATTCCTGAACCTCCTCCAATCTCCCTAGTATGATTTACCGTCTCATTCTGGTCCAAGTATACGAGAGAAGTCTCTCCTCCTCTCTCGGATGATGAGTTTCTTTGAGAAAAGGTTCCCTGATGACCTTGAGCTAATGGCCATGTTCCTTGATACAGTTCTATTTGTATACAAGTAAGTCATGAAGCTCCTTCTACATTCATTATTATACTCATCATTGAATTATTAAGAGATGATCATTTAAGCTCAAATGAATTGACTGCTAAGTTAGAGCCGGCTTTCCTTTGCGGCCTCCGATGTCCTCAAGTCTCCATTAGAACCAAGTTCTTTGAGGTAGTAACTGGACGCCACTACATCCCTCTCCTTTTTTATTTTAAATAAAATCTTGTAGGTTTTTGAGAGAAGTGTCCAACAGCGACTCTATGATAGGCTGTTGTATATAATGTGCTCACAGAATTGGGAACATTGTGGAGGACACTTCTGGATCAAACAGTGCATTGAGGTGTATACTTTAATATATTGTGTACTCCTCATTTTTAAATTATTTATTCTTAGCTGATAATATCAGTCGGTAATTTAGAGATGCCATTAAAAGTGTCTCCAATGTCTCCAGTGCTGCCTTGTATATCCTCAATATGTCCCACTACAACACCATTGGTTCATGATGTATCTGAACCACCAACCATCACATCACAGCTACCAGAGGTACAGTATACAAAACACTGTGTATTTTTAATGTAGCATTATTGCTGCTTTTTGTGTCTTTTCTCAGGAGTTAATGGAAGGTGTGGAGGGAGAGGGAGGAGAAGGAGGAGGAGTTGGAGCCCTAGAGAAACTAACTAACAAACTTGTCTCCTTCTTAAGCGACTGCAAGAATATCCAGGTAAGTATTTCAGGCTTTCAGCATGATACTGATCTTAACATGATACTGATATTTTTAGACTCAGCAGTTTGCAATGCCTCTGGCTCAACTCTGTCATGAAAGCACTTCTTTAGCTCATCACGTGTGGATTAATCTGTTTCCTAAGATTTGGTCTGCTTTACCTGAGCAACACAGACAAGTATTAATACTGTCTCTTCCTTATACACTCATTCCTTGTATCATTCCTTAGGCTCTCTCAGGTGAGGTGAGCCCATTTCTATGCAGTGCAGCTCATCTCATACAAATGGACTGTCATCCCAGTGCTATTGGGACCTTCCTAGAGGCAGTTCTATCTTGTAAACCAACCCCTCACATCAGATCATGTCTACTGAAGGTATTACAACTCTATGCATTGATATCTCTCATTGTCTCTCTTCTCTCTTAGTATTTGGGTAAGATCCACAACTATTGGAACGGGTCTTTGATACTGTTAGAGGACAGAGCTAAAGCTGATGGCGAATTATCAATGACACCTCGTGACCCTCCGCCCTACGATGGGAACTATAATGACGAACTATTAGACCCTTTCAAAAATGTAAAAGAATTATTTATGTCCCTTTTATCTGGCCTGTATATTATTCTAAGAGGCTTTGAATTATTTTTGAGGTTCTATTTTCAGGAAACAATGAATGCCCTGTCAGAATTGTATGCTCTCCTTAATGAAGAAGACATGTGGACTGGACTATGGACACTAAGATCAAGGTAAGTATCTCAAAGACTCAGTCGCATGAGGATGATTTACTTCTTTCTGTATCCTTTAGATTCCCAGAGACTAGAGTGGCGATTGCTTACGAGTGTCAAGGATTATACTCGCAGGCCCAGGAGCATTATGAAAAGGCAATGTCGAGAGCAAGAGAGCTACACAATGTTGGGCCAGCTCCACCATCAATGATACCAGAATATAAACTATGGGAGGAGCACTGGTGCAAGTAAGCAATGGAACAGTACTCACATTATGCTTGTACTAGCTGCTTCAATATCTAATATATAATAATAATCAAGAGATAAGTTACATGAGGGCATGCAGAATGAAACCTGATCCTTATAGATACAATGTTTGACTTGACTCATAATAATTCTTCCCACAGGTGCTCAAGGGAGTTGTGTAAATGGGATGTATTGAATGATTTTGGTAAAGCACATGGTGGGACCAATCCTTTCTTAGGTAATAGAGAGAAGAGATTGATGAAAATTGAGGCTTGTATTTATTCTCTTTTTCTCATAGTCCTTGAGAATGCCTGGAGGGTGCAGGATTGGTCTGCAATGAGGGAAGCCTCCACTCAAGCTGAGCCTATCTGCTCTGAGAGCTACAGTGCCAGACTCAACCTCTTGAGAGGGTTCCTTGCACTCTGCTATCCTGACGAGCAAAGACTCAATGCTGTATGTTTATAGTAATAAATAAAATATTTGATTATTATTGTCAATAAAATATTTTAAACCTTAAAATAATGTTAATAGGAGAAATTAAATGTATGTGTATTTCACGGCAGTAAATATTGAAAAATAATATGATTTTTAGGTTGAGAAGTTGGTAGAAGCTGCTAGTATTCAGAGTGTGAAGCAGTGGAGGAGACTCCCACACATTGTCTCCAATTCCCATATACCACTCCTTCAGCTCTCACAGCAGATCATTGAGCTGCAGGAAGCTACACAGATACACAGTGGACTCCAATCCGGATCACTTAGTCGACAATCATTCCTCAACGAAGTCAAAACAATATTCAAAACATGGAAGTAAGCATGAGACTGCTATTGTCCAAAAATTTATCAGATAGTCGATAAAAATTTATGAGTACACTCTCTCTTTCTTGTCTCTCTAGGAATCGACTGCCTAATCATTTTGATGACCTCAGCTACTGGAGTGACATATTCTTGTGGAGAGAGCAACACTTTAGGAGCATCATCAAAGCTTATGATGGAACCTCTCACGGAGAACAAGTATTATACCAATGATATATTCGCTGTATTACTTGAATGCGTATTGTCTATTGATAGAGTAATCAAGCTATGCTTGCGGTGCATCATTTAGCTGGTGGTATAACACAGTTTTCTAGCATTGCTAGGAAACAGAAACTCATCACTGTTAGTCTGGACTCGCTTAGCAGGTAATGGTGGTAGCAATGAATGATACTTTTAAAATACAAAATCTCTTTTAAGATTAGAATAAAAAGTAATGATATGCATTATTATGTGCATGTTTGTACTTTTTAAAATTAAAACAAAGAGCTTTATATAATTGATACTGTACATGTTTTGTAGGATTCACAACATACCCAGTGTGCCTGTGGTTGACTTATTTCAGAAGATAAGGCAACAAGTTAAATGTTATTTAATGACTGCCAGCACAATGGAGCCTTCTGAAATACAAGAGGTTAGTTCTCATTTACATATCGACATTTTAAGTTTTATTGTATATTTAGGCATTTGATTTTATTGAGTCAACAAACTTGAAGTATTTCTCTAAAGAAATGGTATCTGAGTTCCTAGCACTTAAGGGAACCTTCTTAATACAGTATGGAAAGTGAGTTCTCCCCTCCTCTCTCTCTATTCCTTATACATTGTAACTATTCTCTTCTTTAGATCAGAGGAGGCTAATAAATGTTTCAGTGCTGCAGTACAGCTTCATGATGGCTTGTACAAGGCTTGGGCTCTCTGGGGGGATTTCCTTGACCAGCTGTTTGCTGTTGATAAGTTAGTCCGTGATTTTTTCATACATGTACCTCAATTTTATCATTACTTAGACTTTAGAAATACTTTTTGTATTTTGTTTTATGAATGTCTATCATCTCTTTTGAGTCAATTATGCAAAAAAAAATTTTTCTTATACAGGAACATTACATTGGCAGTTTCAGCTCTCACTTGCTTCCTGCATGCTTGCCGTCATCAGAGTGAACCTAAGAGCAGGAAGTACCTAGCAAGAACTATTTGGATACTCAGCTATGATGATGAGAAGGTACTGGAATTGTTTTGAAATATTCTTTTTATTATTTATTATTAATTTTACTATATAAAGAGGACACTAGCTGAAGCATTGGACAAGTATTATATGGGCATACCCCCTATGCACTGGCTACCATGGTAAGGGAATGGATTATATAAAAGGAATAAAGACATGAGAAGCTTTATTGTAACTGCAACTCTTTTAGGATACCACAGCTTTTGACGTGTTTAGTTCGTAATGAAGGCTCTCACATTCTCAATCTGCTCTGCTCTGTTGGTAAAGCTTATCCTCAAGCTATATACTTCCCCATCAGGACACTCTATCTAACACTGAAGATAGAACAAAAAGAAAAATGTTAGCACTAATTTTCATCATCATTATTACTATTATTAATTACTTGTCTATTCTCAGTCAAAGCTGAAGTCCACTCCTCTCACCCTCCTCCTCCTTTCCTTCGCTCTACCTCTCAGCCCGGTACTCCTAATCCTCCATCAGCTTCGGACGGGGTAGAGCCCATGCAAGTTGACTCCGCCCATTCATTGGGTAAACCTCCCGACTCTCAAGTTCCTCCTCAGACTCCGACAGAGTCTGAGGCTAAACAACCGAAACCTCCGTCCACTCCAGGAGCAACTGTACCACCTCTTCCTTCCGGAGGTGAATGGTTTATATTTAATGCTCGCGCTATATTTTTATTCTTGTTTTATAGATTCTTCGATGCCGTCAGAAAGTGCTCCTTTCAGAGCTCCTGCTTCTTTGTGGAGATGCAGTCGTATCATGCACTTACTGAGGGATCTTCATCCAACCTTGTTATCAGCACTTGAAGGGATTGTGGATCAAGTAAATTGTTGGATGTGCTGTTTAGTTTAACACTCGTATCTCAGTTAATCTGGTTTAGGGAGAGTTGGTATGAGGATTTACTCAGACAGTTGAATGAAGGATTGGTTGCTTGCTATGAAGAAGCATTTGAGAACAGAGGAGACAGTAAATCTTATCTTTTAATCTCTCTCTCTTATACTCTCTCTCTTTCTTTCTCTCTCAGTTGCTAGTGTTCGTATTAAGCCGGAAATGTTCCAATACGTTCAAAAGCTAGTCAGCTCATTTGGGATAACAGCAGAGCAGAGTAACATGACGCCAGGAGCTGCTGGCACTGGAAACAACTCATCACAAGAGGCACTCACTAAGAGAGCTCAGGCAGCTGCACAGGATCCCGCCTTTCAGAGGCTCAAGAATCAATTTGATACTGATTTTGATTTTAGGTAGAGGCTATAGGAGAGGAATGATTATTTGTGATGAAATTTTATTAATTTTTTATATTTCCAGCTCTCCTGGCCCAAAGAGATTAAGTGTCCTGATAACAAAGCTTAAGAGATGGATTAAAATACTTGAGCTTAAGACCAAATCATTGCAAAAGTAAAAAATATATGAAATATTGAAAGTTTTTTGATCATGTTTCCCATTAAGATCTTTCTTACTTGAAGACAGATGTCGTTTCTTGAGTAACTTCTCTCTCAACACTGCTGATGTAGAAATGCCTGGAGAACACCTTGAGCTACAAGTAAAACATTCATTATTATTATTATTATTATTGTATGGTTGATGTACATTGTAGACAATGCCCTATTATGTGAAGATAGCAAGGTTTATGCCACGAGTTGAGATAGTACAAAAGCACAATACCACTGTTAGGAGACTCTATATACAAGGAGACAATGGAAAGGTGAGGTTTTTATATCTTATGCTACATGTAGCTTGTTTGTTTCTTGACATGTATTTATTGATGCTGCCAAGGCTTCCCACAAAGTGTGAGCTAAACAGTATGAGCTTCATGAGCTGACAAGCACTACAATACAGTACATGGCATTTGGAGCAACTTTAAAAATTCATAAAAAATCCAAACTTGATTGGAATCAGTTCAAACTTTCTACACAACATAAGTACATGTATATGTATTAGAAAAAATTATAAAAATGGAGAATCCTCTCCTTTTCATTTTTGACAAAATTTGGCCAAAATCCCTGTACTATAGTACAGGGACTTTGGCCCGATTTTTGAGCAACTTTAAAAATTCATTAAAAATCCAAATTTGATCGGAATCAGCTCAAAGTTGATACACAAGATAAGGAGATGTATATGTATCAGGAAAAAATATTAAAATGGAGAATCCTCTCCTTTTAATTTTTGACAAATACCCTGTACTTATAATACTACTGGCCCAATTTTTGAGCAAATTGATAATCCTATGCCAAAATTCTGTTCGAAGCCCTGTTTCTTAATTCTTACATATTGCAATTGATCCTGCACAATGCCATTACTTTTCCTCTTATGATTATAGATTTATCCTTATCTTGTATTGAATGATGTACAAGCAAGCAAGAACAGAAGAGAGGAGAGAGTACTTCAGCTGTTCAGACTATTGAATTATAGTCTAAAGAAGGAGAAGGTATATATGATAATAATGTTACATGTTCGTGAGCAATTGCTGCCATTTTTTATTTCTAGGAAACTTGCAAAAGACATTTGCAGTTCAGTGTCCCAAAGGTTGTAGCTCTTTCTCCTCAGATGAGGCTCCTTGAGGATGATGTATCAATACTCTCACTCAGTGACATCTTTAAACAAGTATATTATTAATTATATATAGTCTCTCTCTTTAATGGCCTTGTTTTTTCTTCTTTTATTCATTCAGTATTGTAATAGTCAAAATCAAGACTGGGACATATTGATTACTCTGTACTATGAGAGGCTGGCTGCACTACAAACTCGTGGGGAAAAGATAAATCTCACTACAATAAAAAACATGTTCAGTCAGGTATGGCACCCTTGAATTTTGTCATTACTTTTCCTCTTGCCTTCTTTAATAATTATCTCTCAGATACAAATGGCTCATGCTCCTACTAGTATAATTAGGGACTGGGCAGAGAAGAGTTGTGCATCACTTACCGACTTCTGGACTCTGAGGAAGCAGGTATAATAAATGCATGCATTATTATCACTCTTTACATATTGTACTTTTTTGATGTTTTAGATTACTAGACAGTTGGCTCTTGTTGGTCTGGCAGAGTTTGTGTTTCACTTGTCTCGTCTTGATCTGGAGATGTTTCAAATATCGCGTAGTTCAGGCTGCCTGACTCAAACATTTTATAAATTTGAGATCAACAATGAAGGTAAGGGAGTATTTGCATAAATAGTAATATCTCTCCATTTTAGGTGCACTAGATGCAAATCGTGCTGTTCCATTCAGGCTAACACCAAACATTCAGTCCTTCTTGTCTCCCATTGGTATAAGTGGCCCGCTATACATGAGCATGGTGGCAGTGGCAAGGGTACTGGTTCAACCACAGTACAGCATTGAGAGCATACTCCTGGCACTATTCAGAGACGAATTTATTGCATGGAGTAAAGTAAGGAGCTTGAAAGTTGCATGTCTCTTTTTCAATAATTATAATTATTATTATTTTAGAGGAAGCAAGAAGAAGCAGAAGGACATTTTGTTAGTTTGGCTGATGTGAGCAGTGAGATGGTCACTCCGTTTGTCAATGATGCTGTTGATATTACATTGACAAGACTATTTAGTAAGCAGCAAATTGATAGTACTCTACTTGTTGTCAAAGGAAATATCTTGTAGAAGAGGAGTAGATAGTAATGTCTTGTGCATGTTAAAAGTTATTTTTAAAATTTTGTTGTACTATACATGTAGCTAAACTATGCAGCTTTGTAGTTGTTTGTTAATAATAACCTAAACCATTTTTTTCAGATTTGGCTGATTTTGAAACTGGGAAGTCACAGGTCTCAACTCTCATCTCTGCAGCTTCTAATTTAGACAATATCTGTCGCATGGATCCTGCCTGGAACCCATGGCTATAAGAAACATTACTCAATTTAATTCCTACACTGACATTCATGCAACCATCTATTTTCATTTGTCCTTATTACATTGCCACACACAACAAAAACAGATAAAATAATTTTGATGCAAATCTAGATTTATGTTCAATCTTATTTTTTGAGTGCTAAAGTAAGTCTAGGCTTTGCTGTAGAATGTAGATTTAGGTACAACAAATTGCACAGACCTTGCAAACCAATTCATAAACCAATCTATGAATTTCAAAGGAGGACTATCTAAATTGAGGTATGTCGAGACCAGTACTGTGTTGTATCATACAGTCACATTAAAGGCCTGGTTTCCATATAGCCATACAACAGCCTTTGCAACAATCCTAGAGATAGAAACCATGCTAACCACAGAATCCAAAACAGCCCACCTACACTTGGAAGGTTTATGCAGCTGTACTGTTTTGTTTAAATATTCGAGCTGGCCACTTTCCAAATCATTCTTAAAGCGTGAAAGTCACGTAGTCTCACGTTACCCCCGAATGCAAAGAAGTGGAGCTGCTCCAGAAAGAAAGTCTGGTCTATAATGCCGCTACTTTATGTCGCCGTTTTAATAATCAGTTCAACCTGCAGTGGTACTACAGTAGCTGTACAGTCCTGTTCTAAAGAGGATAGAGTATCATCTTGCAAGGAAGTAAAGAAGTATTGGCCAAACAGTTCTTCAAAGAACTACAATATTGTATATGAAGGAGAAATAAAGAATGTTTACTGTAATATGGAGGAGCTGTGTGGTTCAGGAGGAGGATGGACAAGACTAGCATATCTGGATATGACTGACTCTACACAGAACTGTCCTCCTGGGTTTAGACTGTATCAGTCAGGAGGAGTTAGAGCTTGTGGTAGAGCCAATTCAACTGAAGGCACTTGTACATCAGTTCAGTTTCCATCTAATGGTATCAGTTACTCTCAAGTGTGTGGTAGAGTAGTGGGATATCAGTATGCATCACCTGATGGAGCTTATCCAGGCAATTTCATTAATGAAACATATGGTAGTGTCATTACACCACAGCACAATGATATTAATTCTTATTATGCTGATGGTGTTAGTATCACTCGTGGGTCTCCTCGTCAACATGTCTGGACACTAATGGCTGGAGTAACCGACAGTTTCATTTTTGTGAGACATGATGGTCGGTACCTTTGTCCTTGTTCTCAAGGTAGCCTTCAAAACTCAACTCTTCAGTCTTTCATTGGTAATGACTACTTCTGTGAATCTGGTAATCCTGCTACTGATGGTAGATGGAAGCACATATTCTATACATCTGATCCATTGTGGGATGGTAAAGGATGTGGTAGTCTTGAAGGTGTTTGTTGTGCAGCTCCTGGTCTTCCATGGTTCAATAAGATACTAAACACTACCACTACTGACTACCTTGAGCTGAGGGTGTGTGGAGATGAAGCAACAAGCAATGAAGATACTCCTGTTACATTTTATGAATTATATATTAAATAATGCATGTTAGACTTCAGTTTTGGCATTATTTTAGTTTACATGCATAAATTTTCATTTCATGTTTTTTACTTTTAAAATTTTTGAAAGATGAACAACCAACATTTCTACTATCTATGCATGTGTATGTGTGCATAACTCATTCCATAATGCAAGTAAACAAAATTACAAGCCGTGCATTTTAAAAAAATTTAAAATACCATTGAAATGACACAATAATAATTGAAATAATAATAGGAAATAAAAATTCATCAAAATTAGGAGGTAATTGGAGATCTAGAAATTAGAAATAATCAAACTATTAAGTCATTCATTGAGACTATGCATGCTTTACTTCATGCCTCCTTTACTGCCACTCATGGAGAGAGAGGCAAGTGCAGCAACTGTTTCATCGCATCTTTCAGCCTCAGCCTGAGACATATTTAGAATAGGAACTGATTGCTGGAGACAGGACCAATACGGCTCTGAGAAAAAGAGAGAAAGGAGAGACGGGACGAAAAGGAAGTAGTTTTAAATAACTTTTTGTTTACTTTGACATGCAATTGTTTTTTCTATGGAAGCTACTGCAGTTGGTTGGGGACCTCTGGTCAGCGATGCAGCATCCAATGGAGGCAACTATAAGAATGTTAATAAATAGGATATGTAGAATGAGGGGAGGGAGGGGAGAGACATTATGCAACATACATTTTCAAACAATAAAGCTCTCATGACGGCCTCAGCTGATTCACACAAGGACATTAGCTCAAACCTAAGAGCCAACATAAAATAAAAATAATCACAATAATCATAATAATAAAAATAGCTTACCCGCCCTCCAGAGCTATGGCAACTCGTCCATTCCCACAGTTCATCAACATCCTGGTCAAGTGTGCATAGCCTAATAATAATAATAATAATAATAATAATAATAATAATAATAATGACAATAATTATAACCATTATTATTATTATTATTTACATTTTGGAGTGACCGAGTATCCTCCAAGTGTGGGTGGGTGACCATTGGTAGCATTGAAACCAGCAGATACTAAAATAATGTCAGGATTATGACTTCTTAATATTGGAATGACTACACTCCTGGGAAGAAAAAAAGAGAAATTATGACTAAGTTAGATAAATTACTAACTAACCTGAAGGCAGCTAAATACTCAGGATCGCCAAAGTTTGAAGCTAAAAAGAAACAAAAAAAGAGAATCAACTCACGTACCACTTTCAGATCATTTCTTACTAGTCACTCCTTGAAAGCTTTGCTTTCCACTGAATGCAATGTTAACATTATAACCAGTACCACCCCCAGAACCAACCTACATATAACAAAAAATGTGTTATAATAAGGACATTTTATTGGGATTCATCTGTAGAATGTTTGAGCTGATTCTGAGGAGCGCTCCTCGGATAACTAACATACCTCTTCTGGCCTCCCCGTCCCTGGAAAAAAGGTCCCATTGTCATAACGATGGAGCGAGATAAAGAGTACAGCAGGGTTGTCATAGAATATCTGCTGTGTGCCATTGCCATGATGAATGTCCTGTTGTGGTATGTAAGAGTGAATTGAAGGCAAATATAAATTTATATTATGTTTTAATCTATTACTACTTACCCAGTCAACGATGGCAACCTTCTTATTCTTAGCAATCATTGCTTTTGCTGCTAGTGCAATGTTATTGAAATAGCAAAAGGCCCTGGAATAAAATGGTGTACATATTAACACAATGATAATTAATAATAGTAATAATAATAAATAATAATAAATAATAATAACAACAACAATAATAATAATAATAATAATAATAATAATAATAATAATAATAATAATAATAATAATAATGTTCTTATGCTATGAAGCAAGTTTGAGCCAATTCAAACCTCAATTTTTTGAGTTATGGCCATTTAAAAAAACAGGCCAATTTGTGAAAAATGCCCTGTACTATATCCCATGGTTTTTTCAAAAATTGACTCGAAAATCACCCCAATTTTTTATTACATTTTCTGATACATATTGATGTCCTCATGCTGTGTAGAAAGTTTGAGCCAATTCCGACTTCAATTTTTCGAGTTATGGCCATTTTAAAAACGGGCCGATTTCTGAAAAATACCCTGTACTATAGCCCATGGTTTTTTCCAAAAAATGGGTCCGAAATCATCCCAAATTTTTATTACATTTTCTCATACATATTGATGTCCTTATGCTATGTAGAAAGTTTGAGCCAATTCCGACTTCAATTTTTCGAGTTATGGCCATTTTAAAAACGGGCCGATTTCTGAAAAATACCCTGTACTATAGCCCATGGTTTTTTCCAAAAAATGGGTCCGAAATCATCCCAAATTTTTATTACATTTTCTCATACATATTGATGTCCTTATGCTATGTAGAAAGTTTGAGCCAATTCCGACTTCAATTTTTCGAGTTATGGCCATTTTAAAAACGGGCCGATTTCTGAAAAATACCCTGTACTATAGCCCATGGTTTTTTCCAAAAAATGGGTCCGAAATCATCCCAAATTTTTATTACATTTTCTGATACATATTGATGTCCTCATGCTGTGTAGAAAGTTTGAGCCAATTCCGACTTCAATTTTTCGAGTTATGGCCATTTTAAAAACGGGCCGATTTCTGAAAAATACCCTGTACTATAGCCCATGGTTTTTTCCAAAAAATGGGTCCGAAATCATTCCAAATTTTTATTACATTTTCTCATACATATTGATGTCCTTATGCTATGTAGAAAGTTTGAACCAATTCCGACTTCAATTTTTCGAGTTATGGCCATTTTAAAAATGGGCCAATTTCTGAAAAATACCCTGTACTATAGCCCATGGTTTTTTCTGAAAAATGGGTCTGAAGTCACCCCAAATTTTTATTACATTTTCTGATACATATTGATGTCCTTATGCTATGCAGAAAGTTTGAGCTGATTCCGACAAATAATTTTCAAGTAACATTTTTTCGATTGCATGCTTATTGGCCAGGACATGGGGCATTTCTTTACACCCTAGCTGGCTGATAATAATAATAATAATAATAATAATAATACTAATAATAATAATAATAATAATAATAATAATCAATAAATGCAAACTAACATAGCTTGATTCTGCAGCGAGTGATGTCCAGGTGGCCTAATGAGAGCAAACCCATTCTAAAGAGACAGAGTGAGTACATGTAATTGATATACAATGTACGTATAGCTTAAGTACACTTTTAATTACTCGAGCACTGCTTTCCATTAATGTACAAAGACAATGTATTCTTCATTTTAGCTACACACACACACACACACAACTATTATTATTAATAATTAAGTAATGATGTTAGTACATGTATGTGAATACCCTAATTCAGTAACACTAAATTTAATTTAGCATTTTACTAAAATAAGCACAGGAAATTAAAAGTGGAATACAAAGTGCATTAACAAATGTACACAACTATTACTTGTATGTCTCCATTGACAATCTTATCAGCTAACTCAATGACAGAGCCAACCGCCTAAAAAGGAAGACAAACAAATCATATCCACATTATATGCATTTCTATTCCTTGTCTGACCCCCACCCCTCACCATTCTAGCTGCATTCGAAGTATGTTGGTCATTCCAGTAAGTATCTGTGTCCACCTGTCATTCATAAAAACAACAACAAGTACAATAAAGATGAGAG